GCATTTAACAAGCTGTAACTATATATATAGATATAGATATTGTATATACTTGAAAGTCATTGCTACTTGAGTTGACAAAGCCCATTTCTGTCTACGTAGAAACAGTGTTAGGTACATATATATGTATATAGAACACCTATATACATTTATATGTATATATCTAGCAATAAGAGTTCTCTATGTGTGCCCACAAGTACATTCTCATGACGTTCCAGTTGATGATTAATGCGCTTTGCAATGAAGAAGCCACATGAACTGAATCAGGTTCCTTATAAAAAGAGCGGAGCCCACTTGTTATTTGTAATTTTATAAACATCTACAGGCAACAACAGCAACATCAACAACAACGACAACAAAAACAACATCTAAACAAAGTTTATTACAATCTGAAATGTTGTTTACATACTTGGGTATTAGCCTAGGGAAACGATTTACTCGACTTTGCGATAATCTATACATATATGATAATACTATATAAATACATATATGTATAGTGTATGTAAATGTTGTGCATTTTTATTCAAATTTGTATTTCTAGATGGTTTTCAATCTGGCTAACCTATTTCCATTAAGGCGAACTAAAAACTTAAAACTAAAGCGAAACAGGCAAACAAAAGGCACAGAGGCAACCATACATAGTAGTATTTGCTTGTTTAAATGTTATTTAAAGTTAATGAAAACAATGAACAAATGATGATGATGATGACGATGTCGTCGCGAGGCTGGCACGCGGCAGCTGCTCAATAGTTGCTGAAGCTTTGTTGTTGTTGTGATTGTTGATGATGAGAGATGAGCACCGAAAGGGGCTCTCTGAGCAAAACTGAGAAAAACATTGCGCAAGCATTTTCTATATAGCAGTTGTGGCGTTTCTCAACTGGTGAATTCGGCTGCCGATGCGACTGACTGATGCGACTGAGCAGGCGAATATTGTTGTCTGTTGCTCATTTCGTTTCGTTTCATTTCATTTTCATTTTCATTTTATGCAACGGCGCTGGTGGCAAATTGTTGTAGAAGCAATTGAAAAATGTGCCAGATGAATTGGTTGTGTATGTGAGAGTGTGTGTGTGAGTGTGAGTGTGCATGTATTACTTGTGTGGTGCTGCATTTGTTCGAGTTACCTTTATGGCAGTCTGCATGATGACATTCGTGGCATAGTTAACACCCTTCGATCCCAGCTGCAGAACCGCTGAATAGCCGCGCTCGCGAGCCTGATTTAAATACTCGTCGATTTCCTGTGCCAAATCAAAACAAAGAGAACACAATTAATAATAGAGTTAGAGAGACAGAGAGAGCGAGAGAGAGAAATATTTATCGAACACACCTGTTCACGACGTGTCAGCATGGGATGCACGAATTTACGGTACAAAGTGGAACTGCCCTTTGTGGCTGGCGACAGCAGCCACAAGACAATCACCACCTTGACCTCATAGTAGAAGGGGAACCACGATAGGAATATGTCCGTGAAGGTCTCAATGCATGTGAAAAATGCAAAGACAATCCAGTACATCATCCATTTGACCTATATACAATCATATCAGATATGTGAGAAAATATGTATATAAAACATTAGATGTGCGAATCTGCCTCTTAGAGAGCGAGATTTTAGGTATATGTGTAAATATATTCAACTCGTTTTGCGTGTATATACATATATACCTGTGTCTATAAGATACGTGAAACTTTTAAATAAACATCAAAATTTCAACTTTGATATTTCTAAAAAGTTAGTTGATAATGCTCTAAATCTAAATATGTATCATTTAATCATCACAAATGAACATTTATTAGATATCTAAGTATTTAATTTGCAACTCTTTATTTTGTATACATAATAGTAATACTCACATATTCTTTAACATTCTTTGTGCGCACCGCCTTGTAGGAGGCATAGGCCGGATATAGAGTGCCGAAGAACAATCTGAAAGTGGGAAACAGTAAACTCTGGGCACAAGTGCGCGGCGCTATAAATATAATGATGAGCGAGCAAATGCAGGCCGTGTTGAAAGACAGACGCGGCAGTGGCCAGCCCTGTAGGAGCTCGAGGAAGCGACCCAAGGCATTCAGGTTCTGCACTACGTTGGAGCCTGGAATGGGCGCAGCAACGTCTGGTGCTATTGGCTGTTCCACAATGTAGGGCCCCTCATAGTCGTAGTCTGTGAAGTCGCTGCCCAAAGAGTTGACCGAATCATGCAAGCCGCCGAGCTGACGCTGCAACTCCAGCTGCTCTAGCGGTGGGGCGGGATAGACGAACTTGGAGTACACGGGCACATAATGGCCAGCAACAGCCGTCTGGTCCTCTTCTAGCGAGTAGCTGCGTCCGTATACGGGCAGCGCCTGTTGACGTAGGCAGTTAATATTAGCCGGACGCTGGCGTAGCTGTTGCTGTTGATAGAGCAGCCGCTCCTGCAAATAGCTAGACCGGCTCATGGCTCACGCATTGCCCAGCGCCAGAGCACCCAATGCCTCGTTCCTAGCTGCTAAGGCGACGCGCCAAGACTATTCTGGCAGCGACAGCCAGAGAGCGTCTAATGCTCCCCGTAACACAGAATGCTCGACTATTAATAGCCCAACAACTGCCAGCTGTTGCGCTCTATTGCAGCACAAAGTGCCCCAAAATGTGTGCGAGAAGAATTCAAACAGAGAATCCGAATCTGAATCTGAATCGGAATGGGAATCGCAATCGTAATCGGATTCGGAATCTATAAGCTGATCAGCGCTTGGAGGCGCTAAAAATATGAATCAAGGCAGTATAGTTTGAATGGAGAGTTTGCATAAAGCTTCGACCGGGCAGCGCAGTGTGGCAAGTGGAACATTAGACTGGCCTCCATTGAGGTGTCTATATATACGTATGCATGGCAGACGGGTGCGTCAACCTCGCACTCGCACACTCACACTCACACACAGACTCACTCAGTGTGGAACGCCTTATAAGGCGCCCGCTCAAATTGACTTTGACGCTGCACAACGGCTAACGGTAGCTTCTGGCGCTTATTAATAAACAAACAGTGTATTCGCTAGCAACAGCCATATCCACAATAAATGAAATTCATGAGAAGAAGGTAACGCTCAAAAAATCACAGCGTAACGCCCACACAATTAGGAAGCAGAATCAAACAAATTAAGCGAACTATGGCAAGGCCAATACCTCGACTGAAAAAAAAAAAAAAAACAATAAAAAGAAAAGAGTTTTGCTCGCTCACCAGTTTTTCTTTTTTGGGGGTCAGCGACAACAAAAACAACCACACAGTGACAACGCATTTGTGCGTGTGTGTTGTTGTAGTTGCTGGCCTCATAAAGATATACACGCACATATATACATATATACTCTTGCAGGGAGTATGTTGACCGAGTCATGATATAATACATTAGTAACTACTATAACAATGAGTCTACATATAATCTAATATAAACTTAGAAGAAATCAAAAATTGATGAAGGAATATTGATTAATTCATCTTTTCATCTTTTTTAATTATATAATCTAAAACCATTTTTAAATTGTAGAATCAAATTTGCAGATTCCTGAACTCTAATGGTGAGCAAAAAACTCCGCTCTTTGGTTTACGGGATGCAAATGCTAAGTGTTAATATAGTTGAGTATTTAGTGAAAAGTGTTATGGGAGCACGGTTGTACTTATTTTGTTATGTTAAAATAATAATTAATTTTACTTTTAAGCTTTCGATACTAGCCAATACAGCTGCATGGTTACACACTTCTGCAAGAGTATTAAATCTTCGGCTTGCCAAAGCATAACTCGAATTCTTTTTTTGGTTTCTTACTCACATTATCAAGCGTGAAAACAAGCTGCTGATCATATTGAAAGTTTTGCGCGTCCTTTGTTACGCTCTTTTTGGGCTGGAGATAGCACTGCGTCGGCTTCTGCGTCTGCCCTTGTGTTTGTCTGCCGCTGCGGTCGCATAGAACAAATGAAAATTCAATTACATGTGAAGGAACTCGCACTCTTCGTCAATTAGCAGCGCTCTGTTACTGGGGCTTACCTTATTGTTTATGATGGCTTGCACAATAACTCGCCTAATTTGTAGTCGTTCTACTAAAGCTAGTTTCTGTTTTAATGTGTACTCGTTTCAAAACATACCAAATTTTGACATTTACGATGCTTTATGCTTTTTTTTTTTGGTTGCTGTGATTCTGAGTTTGCTTATTACAATGATAAAAACAACACTGTAGCACCGTGTTGCGCAGCACTCCTATAAATTGGTCAATCGTTTTAACTACATTTTTCGTTCACTTCCGTCTCGACTTTTTGATGCAGTTCTTTTTTTAGCATTGCGCGCGCGAACAATGCTTTTGTTAAACAAAAACGCAGACAGAGACAGACAAACAACAACACAGCTGGAGATGTGTATATGTCGCAAAAAATATAGCTATGTACTATCGATTTTCGATATGCATTAAGCAACAGCTGCTTCACGGCACTGCCAACAGGCATCAATTTGCTGATTGATAATTTTCTTTACCTATTGATATTGAAATAATTTTGATCATTCTTATCGATAGTTGGCTTCTTGCCGACATTAAGTAAAGTACCATCGGCAACACGTTGTTTGCAAATTTAATTGATTAGATTTTATTTGTATTTGATATATACAATGTCGTAATTATATTTATCGGTCAATTGATTAAGAAATATTTAGTTTACTGGAAAATATTAGCAGCTTGTCTATTAAAGGACGTGTAAAGGCAGCCACACACCTCACGTAAAAATGGCGCAAAATGCACCCAACTGTAAAGACACACAGGTATGCCGATAGCTTTTTTATAAATGGCTATGTATGTATATATAATTTCATTTTATTTATTTTGCTGAATGCTCTATTTCCAGGAAATTCAATTCAAATTGCACGACAAGTTTTTGGCGTTTCGAAAATGTGGCGATCCGCGCAGCAACGTTAATCTATTAGCAGTCTCCAGCAGTCGTGGACTGCTCTTTGCCGGCAATCCCAATGCGCCGGAATTAAAAAGTATTTTCACTATTTCTTGTTAGTTTTTGAAACACACTAATTTGAAGTAATCTCTGATTGATAGTCATCATCGTTAAGGATATAGCTGCAGCCAAGACGAGCGGAAAGCAGCCTTTGGCGCGACTCGTCAATCTACCTAATAAGCCCAACATCATATCCTGCAGCGCCGATGGAAACCTGCTGGCCATTAACTATACGCAACCGAATGGCACCAGCATGCTGCCCATATATGCCGTGCAGTCTTTTATGAGCCCCGAGGTTCGAATCGTGTATAATATACGATTAGCTCCCGAGGATAATGTCCTCGGGTTGCAGCTGCTGTGGAATCCAGTGCTTCCTAACAGCTTGGCTGTGGTGCTAAGCAACGGAGGATTGGCAATGTATGCTCTAAAGGATGGCGGCAATTTCGAGCTGCATTCGCTGGACAAGAGTCAGCAGGTGAAGTGCGGCTGCTGGTCGCCCAAGGGCAAGCAGCTGGTGCTCGGCTTTCCCAGTGGTCGCCTGCAACAGTTCAAGCCGGATCTAACACCTGCCAAGACGCTGCCTTGCCCACCTAATGTGCACGATGGCCCCTTCGACACGATTGCCGTGCACTGGTTGTCCACGTTCCAGTTTGCTGTGATCTTCTTGCAGCAGGGCGAAGACTGTAACCCTGCCTTGTACATAGTTAATGCACCCAAGGCGGGCGTGCCCACCTATACGAACTACTACGACATTTGCTACAGTCTAAATGGACCACGCAGTCATCAGTTCCAATTCACGCATGTGCCCCAGTGGAATCTTCTCTTGGTTAGCTCTGCAAACGGCGTGGAAGTCGGAGTACTGGGCACCTCGGAGGCGGGCGATACGCCCAGCTGGCAGCAGCTAACGTTGCTGGACGAGGCGCGCATTGAGATGCCGCTGAGCGAAGCTACACAGGAGGAGACATTCCCATTGGGCTTCGCCATGGACATCTCCAGCACACATCAGCTCAGCATCAACGACCAACAGCTGCCCACCATGCCAATGGTCCATGTCCTAGGCACCGATGGCACCTTGCTCACCTTTAACTTTCTCAATCTACAGCCGGGAGCCGTTTCCATTTGTTCTCCGCCGCCGCCCTTGGCGGACACTTCAGGAAAATTTGTTACACTGGATGCTCTATTGGGCGCCGAGCAGCAGCCACCAGCAGCTGCGTCAGCAGCAGTTGCACCTGCAGCGCCTGCAGCTCCAGTAGAGGCCAGTACGCCCGCCCCCCTTCAAGACATGTCCTTTGCCTTCACATCCAACATAGTCACTTCCACTCCGGCGCCCACGAAGGATAAGCCGTCGTCGATGTTTGCTGGCTTTGCTGCCAGCGAGGCCAACAAAATGCCGTCCACGTTTAGCAGTGGTTCCACTGCCTCGCTTAACTTCGGCGCTGCTGCAGCCAATTCGTTGCCTGCGCCCAGCTTTGGCGGCTTTGGAGCGGGCAAAGCTGCACCCACGGCATCGACATCTATGTTTAGCCTGCCAGTCGGGGGCAACAGTGCACCAGGCTTTAGCAACTTGAAGGCAGCTGCTCCTGCTCAGCCTGCTCAGCCACTCTCGACCATGCCATCGGCCGCGTCTGTTGCCAATAAGGGCAACAGCAGCAGCAAACCTCTTTATACAGTGCCGCCTATTTTCACGCCCGCTCCCGCTGCCACTGCTACCCCGAAGCAGCCGCCGGCGGCGAGCAAGAGCTCGGATTTCAGCGCGGGCGAAGTGGACGATGTGATCGTAGAGATCATGAACGTGCAGATCAGCGCGTTCACTGAGCAGATCGAGCAGCAAAAGCAGCAGACACGAGCCCTACTTGCTCAGGTAAGACTTATGCCGCTCTGTGTCATATGTAATACAAGAATGAAAACTTGTTCATAGATTGAGTCGCCATCCACGATCAAGTCCTATGCCAAGCGACTGGAGGATCTGCAAGAGCTAAACGATCAAGCGAACGATGTAGACTTCGAGCTGGATGTTCAGGGGTTGCGTCATGCTCTGAGCGAAGCCTATGTTATGACCGCCGACTGTCGCGCCAAGCTAGAGGTCTTCAAGAAGCCAGAGTGAGTGGGAGAGCCAACAGTGCTTGTCTACAATTCCATGTAAAATTCTTTTCAGCATAACGCGCCTGATGACTTCCACAAACTTTGATGCAGCTGGCCGTCGTATACTATCCCGACTGCAGAGCTACTTGGCTGCCAACCAGGCGCAGCTGCAGCAGGTTCAGCAGCAAATCGACGCTCAATGGGAGCAGTACCAGGACGTGCTGCGTCGCAATTCCAAGTCCAAAATGAATATGCCCTGTTTGGAAGGCATCTATCAGCGTTTGACGCGTCTACAGAACTCGACCTCCGATCAGCGCATCCTGCTGAACAACATTAAATCGAAACTAAAGGAGCGCGGATTGCTGCAGTCCGCCATGTTAAACCAGGAGTCCAGTCGCAATCGTACTAATGAAGCGTGTGTATACAGTATATTGAATGTAAATATCTTTTATTACCCCATTGCTTTCGCGACAGCATCGACACTTTGGCGGACTCCATACTCTCCATGAATTTGAGCCATGTGGTGGACACAAACCGCGCCAAGCTCTCGCAGCAGAAGCTCAAGAGCAT